ATTTCCAACATTGCTTATTAAATCACTATTGCACATCAATGACTTCCTCCGTGGTAATTAATCTAAGTCACTCAGTTATTTTTGAAGGGAATAAGGTTCAAATTGGCCACTGAACGTAACTTGAAAATGTAATTAGGCCATTGAATGAAAAAAAAAAAAAGTGCAGTTAAGCCACTAAACGCTCCAAAAACGTGCAATTAGGCCACTGAACATTTCAAATGTATGCAATTTCATCGGATAGCAAGTTACCATCAATTTTAGTAGATTACCTGCTTACGTGGTAGCTGAGTTGACATTTTTAATAAATTTTAAATAATTTTCAATAAATTTAATAATAAATTTTAAAAAATTGAAAAAAATAAATAAATAAATAAAACGAAGGGCCACCCCGTCATTTTTTTAAATTTATTTTTTTAAAAATTTATTATTATAATTTATTAAAAATTATTTAAAAATTATTAAAAATGTCAACTCAGCTATCACGTAAGCAGGTAACCTGCTAAAATTGATGGTAACCTGCTATCAGGTGAAATTGCATACATTTTAAGTGTTCAATGACCTAATTGCACTTTTTTTTTTTCGTTCAGTGATCTAATTGCATTTCAATGTTACGTTCAATGGCCAATTTGAACCTTATTCCTTTTTGAAAACCAAAAACCTCATATGGCTCATCTCTGTTATTCGTTTATATGATGAGAATATAATTGTGTTGTATTCAATAATAATGTCTGAGAGTACATGGAGCGAATATATAGAGATGCTAGATAGAATCCTAGTCTAACACGAATAATATAGTCCTAGTCTAATATGGATAATAGAGTCCTAATAGTCCTAATACTCCCCCTCAAGCACAAGGTTGGTCAGCCAAAACATTGAGCTTGCAACGGAGTAAATTAAAACATACAGACGAAAGAGACTTAGTAAAAATATCCGCTATCTGATCTTTGGTAGAAATAAAATTGACTTGTAATTCCTTCTTCGCGACTTTATCACGAACAAAGTGGTAGTCGATCTCAATGTGCTTGGTGCGAGCATGAAACACCGGATTAGCACACAGATAAGTAGCTCCCAGATTGTCACACCAGAGTTTGGGCACAGAAGGTGGCGCAAACCCGATTTCCTTCATCAGAGAGACGAGCCAAGTAACCTCTGCAGAGACATCAGCCAGTCCTTTGTATTCAGCCTCAGTTGATGAACGAGCCACAGTACGTTGTTTTCGACAAACCCATGAGACAAGATTGGTCCCCAAAAATACAGCAAAACCACTAGTAGATTTGCGATCATCAGGATTGCCAGCCCAATCCGAATCAGAATATGCATGGATATCTAGAGAAGGAGAAGACGTAATCTTAAGACCAAGATGTAGTGTCCCATTTACATACCGTAACACCCTCTTGAGAGCCGCCCAATCCGCAGTAGAGAGAGAGTGCATGTGTTGACACAAACGATTGACTGCATAGGAAAGATCAGGCCGAGTTACCGTAAGATATTGCAGAGCACCTGCAAAGCTGCGATACTGAGTGGGATCAGCGTATGGTACCACGGCATCAGTCTCGGCCTTCGTGGTTGAAACCGGAGTAGCCACGAGCTTGCAATCAACCATACCTGCTCGTTTTAGAATATCCTTCATGTACCATTGTTGAGACAGAAGCATGCCATCAGACAACGGAATGGTCTCAATACCCAGAAAGAACGAGGGGACACCCATATCACGAACTTTAAACTCAAGAGCCAACTTGTCAATAAGAGCAGTCACATGAGCCGGATCAGATCCCATAACCAAAATATCATCCACATAAACCAGAAAATATAAACGAGTATTGCCATGTGAATATATAAATAGAGAGACATCCGTCTTGGAAGGTGAGAAACCAGCAGAAACCAGAAAATCATGCAAACGAGTGAACCAAGCACGTGGAGCTTGCTTAAACCCATATAAAGAACGTTGAAGGAGACAAACGTGCCCGGGCATCGTTTTGTCTTCATAACCAGGGGGCTGGCGCATATAAACCGTCTCAGCGAGATTGCCATTTAGAAAATCATTGTGTATGTCCAACTGTCGAATAGTCCATCCACGAGAAATAGATAAGGATAAAAGAAGACGTACCGTAGTTGGTTTAACAACGGGACTAAAGGTCTCAAAGAAATCCTCGCCGGCAATTTGATTGAATCCCTTGGCAACTAACCGAGCCTTGTAACGCTTAATCGAACCATCAGCCTTTCTCTTGGTTCTAAACACCCACTTACATCCAACTACATTCGTACCTGATTTAAAGGGAACAAGCCTCCATGTATTGTTGTGCACCAAGGCATTAAATTCCAAATCCATTGCATCCCGCCATTCAAGAAATTTAACCACTTGAGTAAAACATGTAGGTTCAGGAGTAACAGCAGCAGCAGATAAAGCAACATGATCATGTGGTCCCGAACTTCTCGTATTCATTCCATGAGAGCGAACGGGTGAGGGCGCGTGACGAGACCGACCACGAGGCCGGCGTCTTGGCCGAGGAGTCGGCTGGTCCGTGACTGTCCGCTCGGACTCTGTCACGAGCTCGGCAGTAGCAGGCTGCTGGCGGTAGTGGTCAGAAGCGGCTATGGGCGCGGCAGGAGGGTCACGAGCCGTGACAATAGTCGGATCACCACCAGAAACAATTGGTGCAACACCCCACGGCTCCGGGCGTGGTTTTGGAACCTGCGAATCCACAGAAGCAACAAAAGGAAAGATAGCCTCATCGAATCGCACATGGCGACAGATAAAAACCTTGTTAGTGTTAGTGTCTAAACAACGATAGCCACGAAAAGATGGAGGATATCCTAGAAAGACACAAGGGGATGACCGAAACTGTAGTTTGTTGCGATTATAGGGACGCAGGTTTGGAAAGCATAAACACCCAAAAACACGCAGATATGAATAAGATGGAGGAGACCGATGCAAAAGATAATGAGGAGATTTAGCAGATAAGACAGGAGTGGGCATTTTATTGATTAGATAAACCGCAGTTTCAAAAGCATAATCCCAAAAACGAGACGGAACAGAGGATTGAGCCATTAATGCTAGTCCCGTTTTAACAACATGCCTATGCTTACGTTTTACCCTGCCATTTTGTTCATGAGTATACGCACATGATTGCCTGTGACGAATACCTAAGGACGCAAGAGTGGAACCAAGCTTTTTATATTCTCCCCATAAATCAGATTGAAAAGAAATAATCTTGCGAGAAAAGGAACGTTCAACTAGTGACGGAAACTTATCAAATATAGCATACAAATCAGATTTAGCACGCATGGGATAATACCACATATAACGAGTGTAATCATCCACAAACAACACAAAATATTTAAAGCCAGACAAAGAAAGTAATGGCGCAGGGCCCTAAATATCTGAATAAATTAATTCCAAAGGATGCGTACTAGTAGTTTCGACACGAGACAGAGGAAAACGAGAAGATTTTCCTAATTGACAAGAGGAACATACATTGGGAAGATCACTAGAATTAAATGTACCAACAGACGAAGACGCTAAAATTTTACGTAAGACTCGAGAATGAGGATGCCCCACCGCATGTGACAAACGTAAGAGGATCGTGCAGCAACAAATGCAGCAGGGGAAGCAGAAGATGCAGGCCATGTGTAGAGACCCCCAGACGCATGTCCCTTAAAAAGAACCTTCTTGGTCAAGATGTCTTTCACATAGAAACAAAGAGGGTGGAACTCAAAGAAAACATTATTGTCCTTTGCAAAACGCTGGACAGATAATAGAGAAGAAGAGAGACCAGGGACATGCAAAACATCATGTAACTTAAAAGACATAGAATCAGTGGCTAACGAAGCAGAACCAACATTAACAATAGGCAAACCTGTACCATTGCCGACTCGCAGAGTCTCTGGGCCATCATAACTTGTCGCAGAAGTCATCAAAGAAAAAGCAGGCGTTGCATGATTTGTAGCACCAGTGTCAGGGAACCACTGATGAGGACCGTTAGAATCACCATTATCACCGGAGACGGCCACATTAGCCTGAAAACCCGAAGCCCCTAAATAACGTCGAAAACAGTTGGCTCCCGTGTGACCAAAACGGTCACAAATTTGACACGGATCATCATAGCGCCAAAAACAATTGGCTCCCGTATGACCAAAACGGTCACAAATTTGACACGGATCATCATAACGCCAAACACAATTGGCTCCCGTGTGGCCGAAACCGTTACAAATTTGACACGGATCATCAACGTCACGTCGTTGACCGGACCGCTTATGATACGATGTATCTTGGTTTGATGCCATCGGCTACTGCTACGAAGTGAGGAATATGGATGTTGGAAAAGAAAACCCTGGCTAACTGATACCAGATGAGAATATAATTGTGTTGTATTCAATAATAATGTCTGAGAGTACAAGGAGCGAATATATAGAGATGCTAGATATAATCCTAGTCTAACACGAATAATATAGTCCTAGTATAATATGGATAATAGAGTCCTAATAGTCCTAATATATATCACATATTCTGAATATTCTTGAAATCAAGGAGCATAAGTATGTGTGTGCGTGTATTCAACTTTGCGCATATATTAACTTATCATATATTTGTGAGGGTGATAGTTGTGACTTATTAGCTATAGTTGTATAACGGAATTGGTTATACAAATTAATGTTGATATTTTCATACTATCAAAAGTGATGGATATATTAGAAATGGAGCAAACCGACCCGAGAAGACGGAGCAAGGAGGACTCGAGTGGATTCGGGGCTCCGAGGTTGAGCCCCGTGCTTGATCCGGAATGCCCTAGGGCAAGGCCTCGGCTATGTGGCCTATGCCAAGAAGGCTCGGCTATGAGGCCTCGGCCATGAGGGGTCGGCATGAGGCATCGGCATGAGGGCTCGGCCATGGGGCCTCAGCCAAGAGGGCTTAGCTATGAGGCCTCGGCTACGAGGCATCGACCATGAGGGGTCAACCATGAGGCATCGGCCATGACGGCTCAGCCATGGGCATCGGCTACGAGGCCTCAGCCAACAGGGGTCGGCCATGAGGCCTCGGCCGGTCAAGCTGCAGCCCTGGTTTCCGGACTGGATGCGGTCAGCGCGGAGATGCAAACGACCTGCCGTATTAGGGGGGCGGTTAGGGGGTTTTTCTTGTATAAATACCCTCCATTTTATCTCATTAAGACATACTCTATCTTATTGTCCTAATTGACTACTATAATAGCATTACACTCCCTTTATAATAGCTTGGCAACTACAATCTTAATATATTCTTTGGTCTACGCGACCCTACAACACTTATTTTGCTTATTTACCTATCTGTTCATCCTTTTCGTATTTATCGGGTTTATTGATTCGGGTTGCCTCAGGTTAATTAAATCCATCATTGGCGCTTTCATTGAGACGTCATGCTCGAACGAGCTAATTTTCAACTAGCTATGGAAAGATCGAGATCCAACTCTCGCAACACGACCGGTTCTTGTGACACCCGAGTCGCCTCGACCGGGAACGACCTCAACGGTACCGCTAGCCAACAATAAACCGTCTCTGTGAGGTCGGCGGGGGAGCTAAGAGATCGCCTCACCAACCATCGCAATGGTGTACCGGGTCCTGCCGCCCCTCCTCCGAACCCTGTACTCCTGGAGGTGTTGGCTGCTATTGAAAACGTTGCTATTGCACTAACTTGCCTTGTAGAGGGGCTCCGAGGAGATGTTCAAGCCCTTCCCCACTTCTCGGCCTCCGAGGTCTCCCAAGGGGTGCAGTGGGCCGAGCACCCGGAGCCCAAGTCGATGAGGCGGTCAACTCGATTCGACCGTTAGATAGGCGAGGAGGGGGTGGCGCTAGCCGAGATCGACAAAGACATTAAGAAGCAAGTAGGGGGAGACCAACCCAAGCCAGGTCCACCCTGGAGCGGTTGGGGTCCTGCATGACAACCTGAGACAGATTAGGGCCATGGCCGACTGTGGACAACCCCCCGATGGAGGAGTCATTTCCATGAAGGTCGCTGAGCCGTGGGCTCCGTGCCCCAAGCTCTCACCGTGATAGGGTTGAGCAGCTCGAAGCAAATGAACGATCTCCAGGAGGGGATGGTCGCTCTCGAACAAGCTACCACCTTGTTGACCCGCCTCGTGGAGGTGCTCGAGCCCCCCGGCTCGGCCCCGATGCCTCTCGAAGGGCACTTACAATTACCCCACCCCTCTCAAGGGGGTGTGATAGGTGGAGCACCCGGTCTCTCCTAGCCCCAAGAACTCATGTTGAGTGAGGGTCAACCCAATGTGACTCTCGGATAGATGAGGAGAGGATAGTGCCAGTAAAAAAAGACGAGATCAGTCTTATTCGCCTCACATCAGGCCCCAAGATTTTAAGACAAGTGATAACAATCTAACAAGCTGCGGCCTTGCCAAACCAACTAATTGAGGGGCTCCAAGGAGTAGTGCAGCCCCTTCCACTTGGCACTGGGGTGCCACATGGGATCGTGCAAGGGTAGACGGCCCTCACCTAGACCCCTCCAAATCTAAGCAAGATGTTGGAGACCCGGACTACATGAGTGCAAGGAGTTGGAGCTCAGCCACTGCGGGCGTATAGAGCCTTAGCTTGGCCACCACAAGGACGAGGAACTTGAGCTCAGTTGCTATGAGCGTAAGTAGCCCAGGCTTGGCCACCATGGACGACGTGCATAATCCGAGTAGATTAAGGGGTCCTAGAGGCCCAAGAAATGGGTTTGGATCCCTCGAGGGGCTTGGGGCGCGGCTAGCGTATTGTTCTTCTAAATGCATGAGAACCTGAGCTCAATCATGAGGTTTGTGACCCATCAATGAATCATTGGAAGGAGTATGAAAGAGATGGAGAACCAAGGGCAGGTTGGACCCCCTGAGAGAAAAGGTGCTTGCGCCTGGCTACCCCACCCTAGAAGCCCGAAGCTATTCTATTTTTTCAAAGGTAAATGGGGGGCTTGACCCCAAACATTGACATATGTTCTCCCTAGTAGAATTTGCAAAGTCCGACCTCGCCTAGCAGAGGGCAGGGTTATCAACCCATGGTCGCGGTCGTGCGCGCCGGCCTCGACATTGGCATTCCCTAACGGTTGTATGGGGGGACACTCCCGCTCACTACCTAACGGAAGAACATTTTATGGGCTCCTTGCCCCTTAACAAGTCCTAGGCCAAGTAGGTGAGGATAACCTACCCGCTCCTCGGTGATACACGCTACAAGAGGTCATATAATGGCACCCTACTACGATGCCTATACCCCGACGAGGCAAAATCTGTCATCAAGGAGATACACAAGGGGACCTATTCAACCCATCAGGGGGAGGTACCATTGGCCTGGAGAGTTATCCTACAGGGGGCGGTTCCATTGGCCAGCATCGCGAGCAACTGGTGCAGGGAGGAACATGGGTGGAAAAGTTAGACGTCATCATTTTGGCCTACCGCACCACCCCTCGGAGGGCTACGGGTGAGAACCCCTTCTCACTAGCCTATGGTTTCGAAGCCCGAGCCCTTGCAGAGGTCGTCATACCTTCCCGCCGAGCAGAGGGGTATAACTGCGACCTCAACAAGGAGCACCACTGAGCGGACCTCCACCTGGTAGATGAGAAGAAGGAGTCTGCCATGATCCGAGCCGAGAACTACCAGCGAAAAGATATGGCCTACCACGATAAAGGGGTCCAACCCTGTTATTTTCAGACGGTTGACTATGTACTTAGGAGGGAGAAAAGCCAACCCCAGGCTGGAGGTAAATTCATCACAAATTGGGAGGGCTCATACATTGTAGCAACTATAGTCCGCCAAGGCAGCCACAAGCTCAAGACCCCCAAGGGGAAGATGATAGCTAGAGTATGGAATTCTGAGCACTTATTTAAGTATTATTAGTGAATTATTTATTAGGAGGTGGTCCGTCCCCTTCGTTTTAATAAACTTAGTAAAAATTTCACCATGGATGACTCATTTTCACTCCTTTGGGGTGGGGGGGGGGATGGGGTACTTAAACGACCCCTCCAACCGTACCCCTAGGGGCCACGAGGTCCAACCTCGCGTACCAACCCCGACGGAAGAGCCTAACAGCTCGGTGTCAAAGGAATCGGGTCGAAGGGCTATCGCCCTAAAGGGGCACGAGGTCCGACCTCGCGTACCAACCCCGACGGAAGAGCCTAACGGCTCGGTGTCTAGGGACTCGGGTCGATGAGCTATCACTCTAAGGGGACACAAGGATCGACCTCGCGTATCAACCCCGATAGAAGATCCTAACGGACTGGTGTCAAACGACTCGGGTCGAAGGGCTATCACCCTAACGGGGCAAGAAGTCCGACCTCATTCACCACCCGATGGAAGAGTTTTTGGACCGAGAGTAGGCTTGGCCAAGCAACTACACACTACGTGAAAAAAAAAAAGGGTACAAACTAGTCCATGGCATTAGGTCCGACCTCCGAGTAGAACCCAAGTCCCGAGCTTGGGCGAAAATGCAAAGCATTCACAAGTATGGCCGAGTAAGGGCTCGGCCTTGGCTAAGGCCAGCTAAGGGCTCGGTCCGTCCCATGTGTACAGGGGGTCAAGGCCCAAAGAGCGCACCACCATGCGGGCAAGCGAAGAAGCTAGAGCTGTGGGGACTTGAAAAATTAAATATGGAGCCGTAAGGTGAAAACAGGTGCATGAAGGGAAAGCAAAAATGGAACGCTCAAGGGGAAATTGAGGTAAGTCAGGCCCGAGCTCGACCTATCTCGACCACCCCGAGTAGGGGAGGGGGCTCGGCCAGAGCTCATCTCGACCACCCCGAGTAAAGGGGGCTCGGCCGAAACTCATCTCAACCACCCCGAGTAGGGGGCTAGTTCGGGGGGAAGCAAAGTTGAAGGCAAGGTCCCCAAGCCTAGTGAGGCAATGTCCTAGAGACAAAACGAAGAAGCTAAGTGAAAGTGAGAATTCAGACACATATACGAAGGGATAGTGAAAGCAAAATACTTCACTAAATGTCGAGATAAGTCTTGGTACATGACATAAAGGGAGGAGGACAAACAAGCTACAATCAAGCCGCTACGATCAAGTATAGTTTTTGAGGGAGGGGTCGGCCGTGTGGGGCTAGGACGCATCAGAGCGCGAATCGTGTTTACTCTGCTTCGTTGATGAATATTCGTAACTCGGAGAGTGGTGGTCTGATGATTGATATATTAGAAATGGAGCAAACCGACCTAGAAAGACGGAACAAGGAGGACTCGAGCGGACCCAAGGCCCCAAAGTTGAGCCCCATGCTTGACCCGGACTGCCCTAAGGCAAGGCCTCGGCCATGAGGGTATGCCATGAGGCATTGGCCAAGAGGGCTCGGCAATTGGGCCTTGGCCAAGAGGGCTCAGCTATGAGGCATCGGCCATGAGGAGTCGGCCACGAGGCATTGGCCATGACGACTCGGCCATGTAGCCTTAGCCAAGAGGGCTCGGCCTTGAGGCCTCGGCTGGTCAAGCCGCGGCCCTAGTCTCCGGACCAGACGTGGTCAGCACAGAGATGCAACCGACCCGCAGTATTAGGCTGGATGGTTAGGGTTTTTTTTTTTTTTTTTTTTTTTGTATAAATACCCTCCTTCACGGAAGCCCTTCCTTCCTTGTTGGAAATTCTAAACCTTCCTTGATCGATATGATAAAGATGCGCTCAAGAACCCAACCTATACAAGGGGCTTGTGCCCACCCCCTATATTTTCTTCTCGTTTGTTTTGGGGAATAGGCCGTGCCTAAAATCATCCAAAGCGCTACTCGCTTTGGGCAGGTTCGGATCACTTACAATACATGGGCTCTACGAAGGAAGGGAGAAGAGAATCGTTGGTTTTACCGACGAACTACGTATTTTGTCTCATTAAGACATACTCTATCCTATTGTCCTAATTGACTATTGTAATAGCGTTACACTCCCATTTAATAGCTTGGCAACTACAATCTTAATACATTCTTTTGTCTCCGCAACCCTACAACACTTATTTTTCCTATTTACCTATCTGTTTATCCTTTTCTTATTTATCGGGTTTATTGATCCAGGCTGCCTCGGGTTAATTAAATCCATGAGGAAGAATTATTAATGACAAGAATAGCCTAAAAGATTAGCAGGTGTATTTAATACAAAGTCTCATTGTTACTAAGGAATTAATGACACACAATAAGGAGAAAAGGAGTAGGGTGCTCTCGCAATGACCAGGAAATTGCTTAGCGATCTTCTGGTAAAGCTAAAGGGGTTGTTTACCGACTTGGAAAAATGATGGATTTTTCTAAAAAAATGGAGAATTGGAGAACTTGTTTACTAAATTTATTCGTCCAATTTCAATCTCATCTCCATTCTTCCACTTCTTATACAATTTTGGAGAATTAAGAATAAGTATTCTCTAAATGGAGGAATGAAATGCACGGGTGAACAGTGATTTTGGGTGCGAGGTCTGACCTGTGGTCGATTCCTTCAGCTTCTTTCTTCCTATCGTTTTTTCCCCTCCTTTTTTTTCCCTTCGTATTCCTTTTTTTTTTTTTTTTTCAATTCTTTCTTCTTCTTTATTATTATTATTATTATTATTATTATTATTATTATTATTATTATTATTGTTATTATATTATTATTATTATTATTATTATTATTATTATTATTATTATTATTATTGTTGTTGTTGTTGTTGTTGTTGTTGTTGTTGTTGTTATATTACTTACGTATTTGAAATTTCATGATTCTTAAGTATTTGAATTTTGCTTAGAGTATGTAGGATACTCATTAAAAGTATTACTTACGTGAATGAAACAGTGAGATTCTTTATAAGATAATTAATAAGGGCTCAATTATTTAAAAACTCTTATAGAGCCATGCAATGTGTTTCATGGCTAAAATCAGTACACACATGAGAACTTGGCTAAGGTTTGGAGATTCCTATTTAAGATATATTGTTGTTACACAAATGGCAAGAGAACTTGACTAAGGTTTGGAGAAAATTCAAAAGTTAATACCAACATATCCAATGCAGAGATCACCCTATTGAACACTATTGTGTCATTTTGTCTTGAATGTCAATTTTTCATCCGTGTGGATAATTGTTAGAAAAAGTTACAATAAAATTAGCATGTAAGTGGCCATTTTGAGTGGAGTCAATAACCAGTTTATGTTAGATTGTTAGGTCAAAGTGGATTCAGGTTTTCCTTGAGGATATGAATTTTGTATATTCATACTCAAAATAAATAATATGTGGATGAGAGAATGTCACATGATCAAAACTCTCGATGGTAGGGTATTGACTCTTTGGATTATAACTGATAGAAAAGTATATTAAATAGATATTACACTATAATAGAGTCGATAGTATTCAAAAAGAAAAAAGATAATATGTTGATGAGAAATTGATAGATTCACAAGGTTTAACCATAAATTAGAAAAAAAAAAAGAAAAAGGTTGATTTAAAAGTGTAAAATATATTGTTGGAATATTCTCTCTTGCGCGCATACGCATATACGAGAGGATGCAAATCAAAGTCATACCTCAAATATAATTTTATTTTCAAATTAAAGGAAAATATACGTTAACATGTCTCAAGTTTTAATTTATTTTTATCTAAAAATTGTGAATGAACACTACGTCAAGTCGTCAATACACGGAGTACTAGTGATTAACCATTTTGTTTCAGCAGCAACTAATCTTTAATTTTCCTAAAATGTTAAACACTTAAGCTTGTGCATAGCCATTTCATGACCATCTATCTATTTTTTGTTCCCTTGAAGGTCCTAGGAGGCACCTTTAAATCCATACCATACTCGCACTAATCTCCATTCGCACTGAGCCGGCCTAATTAAGGGGCAAATTGGATTGATTTTTCCATACGAAAAGGGATTCGAACTTCTGACCTCTCTTAAGGGATGAAACTGCACGGTCAGATCTCACACTAAGAAAGCTGGTTCTTCAAAGTTATTGTTCATACACAAGATACATCCTTCTTTAATAACATTTAGACAATCTCATGTGCTTTCAGACTGGACTTCTTCTTTCCCTTGTAAAGGCTATGTACTTGTGAAATTCATGTGAGCGCAAACACAAGTACACAACATACACGACAAACATGTATACATTCTTTGTGTGTTTATATATTAATTAGAACAACTTAAGTTATTCAGGTCCCATGAGGACCATGTTTTTACATATGTTTTACATGGATGGAAAATTGGAAATGACAACTTATTTAATTTATGTCATTATGTGTGCAAAAAAATATCTTCTTTTGTATAAATTAGTTATTTACTTATGTGATGCACAAAAAAAAAAAAATAAAATAAATCAAAACTTTAATACACTTTATTTATGAGAATATGTAGAAAGAGATTTTTTGTATATTGTGTTATGAAATGATATGTAAACGTGTATATAAGCGACATGTACAAATCTTAATACAAACCCTAGTAGAAATAAGGAAATACAATCAAACTCAATCACTTTTCTAATACAAATACTATTAGGAATATAATATTGGAATAATACTCCCCTTGAAGTTGAAGGATGGCGAGAAGCAATTTGAAACTTGTCACGCGGCACACGGGAACTTGTGGAAGCCAAAGCTTTAGTGAAAATATTAGTTATTTGATAGATTGTTAGGAAAAGGTGTAATTAGATTTTGATGAGCCAAATTGAATTTTAGGAATATACTTTAGACTCTCAAATTTTAAATTTTATAGGTTAGATATTTAGTTTTTAATTGCTACAAAAATCACTAAGTGATGGAAGCCAAGTCTTTAGTTTTGACATCATAAGTGAAGTCATTAGTAGCACGCTTAACTACAGAGTTTTTTGGTTATCGACCATTTCCACATCCCTCTACTTAACGATTCGTAAAGTTTTTGAAAAATCTAACGAATCTATTCATCCCCCTCTAGATTCGTTTCCAAACCCTTCGGGACCAACAATAATGATCGAAGGAGAAATCAAATGTGGAAAAAACAAATAAAGACAAGAATTTTAACGTGAAAACCGAAAGGTAAAAATCACTGCCTTTTTGGCGATGCCAGACCAAAAATTCACTATTTTGTTGGTAGTTTTTGTACATGTTGTTTTTCTATTTTCTACCGAGAAATGGAGCGCCCCACAAACCTGGTTACTGACTCCTTTTATAATAGAAGTGAAAGTAATAAAATAGCCAATAATAAATAGGTAATAATGTCTGATAAATGGGTAATCAATTGGTTAACTAGTGGGTAATAAATGGGTAATTAATTGGGGGTTATAGAATGAGAATTAGGTAGGGAGCCAAGATTGTCTGGCTACGTCCCGAGTGCTGATTGTCGAGACCGAGTGTCACACCTGAATGCCTGCTAGGTGGTACAGACCGGGTACCCATGTTGGGTATCTATCAACCGAAAATTTTGAACAGGTGAAAATCTGAGCAAGTCAAGCAGTCGGCTGTAGGAATATGGTCGGCCAAAATTGTCATGAAAGACGGGCGAGTGGACGAAGAACGTTGAATAAGATTTAAATCAATCGACGAATACCAGACTGAGGGACTTGACCTAGTAGGCCAGGCAGTTGGACATAGGAATATGGTCGGCTAGAACTGCTATGAAAGACAAGTGTGAACCACCTTGAAATACGGGTGAGAATTGCCCTAGGTGATGGGTGAGGATCGCCCTGAAAGATGGGTGAAAACTAACATGAAAAATGGGTTAGAATGTAACACCCCCGATTTACCAACATATTTAAAACTTAAAATTCGACAATAAACATCTAATCATCAAGCAATCAAAAGCGGAAGCTAATTTTAAACCGGGAAGCGTTATGCCACACTCATAAACCATGGGTGCACAGGCTAAGTCTACAGCTATTCAATTAAGACAATATCAAGTCTAAGGCACACAGGTCATGTCTAATCAAGGCTCACAGGCCCAAAACATAACAGTTTAAGGAAGGGGAAAACTACACTAGCTCCTAACAACAGCTAGCGCCTCCACAACTAAGCAAAACCTGTAAAATCAAGGGATAACACCCGGTCAGTGAATAATGCTGGTAACCCATCAATACGCGTTAAATAGCATAGTATAGATAGATATAAACAAAGCCATTTGGAACTGAGGAATACAATATATATCATTTTAAAACCAAGGAAGGAAATCAACATCAAAGACTCATCACACTCTCAACAAGACAGGGATCATCAACCTCATCACGACACAAGACCACAACATCATAGACAACACAACTCAGGATGTAACCTACCATTTCACAAGGTAGAGTACATCAAGACATGCATAAGCAAGGAAGTACAACAAATCACATAATGACACATTCATATTTCAAGTTCCAACCTTATCCCTTAGTACCACCCTTATGGCTACCCCCGGCCTTATCACAGTTCCAACCTGTACCTCCGAGTGCCACCCTATACTTCTTAGTCCAACCTTTTCCCGGTCTAGAACGTCGTTCCCCGCCAAACTTCCGCCAAACAATACCGCCGAACTCATAGTACACGAGGGTACCGTTCAATCATCATCATATACCATCGATCTCATGTGAGCAAAGCTCAAGTAACAAAACCACCAATCTCATTAATAGTCACACATGGTCATCATCATCAAGAGGATTAAGGCTCATCAATAGTCTCAATCAAGCATCAATAAAGGGTAAAACGATTTGTACAAGATAACGTCATAAGAATCAATCAAGAGATCTCAACTAAGTCATGAGACCATACTCAACAACAAGGATTACCATCCAACATCAAATGATTGGCAACACAAGTTGCCAATCCTTAACAATAAGGGACAAACCATACATACTAGCATATCAACATCAAACTAGCATGCTC